GGGGGCCCTGCGGCTGCTCGTGCCCCTCCTGCCCCCGCCGTGACACCCCTGTCCCTGATAACCCCACCTGGGACACTCTTGGCCCCAATAAACCCACCTGGGACACACCCAGAGCGGCCTCGGAGCTTCATTGTGTGCGGGGCGGGGGGGTGACAAGTATGTATGTGAGGGGGTCCCAGGTCCTTTTTCCCCTCACGTTTCTTGCCCTTTTCCCCTCACATTTCTCTTCCCCTCACATTTCTCACCCTTTCTCCCCTCACATTTATCGCCCTTTTCCCCTCACGTTTCCCGCCCTTTTCCCCTCACGTTTCCCGCCCTTTTCCCCTCACGTTTCCCGCCCTTTTTCCCCTCACGTTTCCCGCCCTTTTTCCCCTCACGTTTCCCGCCCTTTTTCCCCTCACGTTTCCCGCCCTTTTTCCCCCTCATGTTTCCCGCCCTTTTTCCCCCTCACGTTTCCCACCCTTTTCCCCCCTCACGTTTCTTACCCCTTTCGCCTCAGGGTCCGGCCATTTTCCCTCTTTGATTTATAGCCTTAAAACGCTATCTAAGAGGCATTTTTGCCTCAATTTAATCCTTAAAGTAATGGAAAAGGAGGGTAAAACTGGGATTTGGGGCAAAACAGTGGAATTTGAGGCAAAACAGCAGGACTCTGGAGTAAAGCAGCAGGATTTGCCATAAACTCGGGATTTTAGGGTAAGCCAGCAGGATTTTGGAGTAAAGCACTGGGATTTAGAGTACCTCAGAGACCCCGAGATCTGATATCCACAGACACTCCAAGCCCCCCCCGAGCTCCCCTAAAGTCCCCTCTGCCGCCTCAGAGCCACTATAGGGACCCCAAAGGCCCCCCAGAGCCCCCCAGACCCCTCCGATGGCCCCCCAGAGCCTTCCAAAGCCCCACACAGACACCCCATGAAGACCCTCAAGCCCCCCCGAGCTGGTGCCTTTATTGAGGAGGGGACACACACCGGGGGGACACACACACACATGGGGGGGCGTCCCCCCCACGCCCCCCAATTTTGGGGGGGTCAGTGGTCCCCCTGCCACCAGTGGTAGAGCTGGTCCGTGAGGATCCCGGTGTAGGTGACCACGGCCGCCGAGCCCTGTTCGTACGCGACCCTGGGGGTGCACAGGGAGGGAGACATTGGGGCTTTTGGGGTGGCCCCGGGGAGGGGGGTTTGGGGCTATTTTGGAGGAGGGGGTTCCTTACCGGATCCGCTGCTGGGCCGCGGGGAGGCTGAGGCGCTCCAGGAGGTTCTCGGCCGCCGAGCCCACCTGGCCCAGATACCCTCGGAGATGGGTCAGGGGGCCCGGGGGGCGCGAGGGGGGCGGCGTGGGGGGGG